CCCGCGCCTGTCCCTCTCCGTGTGCGGCGTCCCGCTGTCCTTAATTATTCACTTAGTTCAGAACAATCCCGTGTTCTGTCACTTCACGGAGCCTGTCAGAACTGTTTATAGGAAAATCTTGAAAATGTTTCTTTGCCTATTTCCTCTCAGATCTATTCTCTCTTTGCCTTTTGCTTGTATTGTTTTCTTTTAACGAAAGCTATTGAAGGGGTTACTTCCCTTTGGGGTAAAAGTTGGGATTTGCCAAAAAATAGTGTGCCGGTGGAGCAGAGCAGGGCAGCGTGTGGCAGGGGCAGCAGCCCTCAGCCCAGGGGTGTGGCCTGGAAGCCCCGCCCACCCCGAGCGCAGGCGTCTGATTGGTTCTCAGTGTGCGCAGAATCACACCCTCAGCAGCTCTCTGCTTTGCAGTCTGCTTCCTGCTATCTTCTCTCTCTCCATTTCATTCCCCGAACCTGAAGTAAGTTCCATCTGGGGCCCAGGTCATGTATGATCAAATGTGCCAGTCAGATGTGTAAAGAGAAAGAAAATTGATAATACCCAGTGTTGGGGGAGGTTGAGCTGGGTAGGTATGTATTCATCCATTTAGACAAAAGCAGAAATTGTGCAGCCTCTTTGGTAATATCCATCAAAATTTTTTAAATACACCGACCCCTAACCCAGCTATATTATATGTAGAAATTTATCCTACTAGTATTTTCACAAATGTTTATCAAGCTACACACACAGGGGTATTCATCTCAGAATTGTATACAGTTGCAAAAAAACCAAAAGTAACCTGAATATCTATCAAGAAGAAAAGAATTAAGCAAATCATAGTATATACCTTGTAATACTATAAAGCCATAAAAAGGAAGGTCTACAGGTATTGCTATTGATTTTCAAAATAGAAAACGAGCAAGCTGTAGAGTAGTATCTGTAATGTACTATTTATGTGTGAGGAGGACACAATTCAGATGTGTAGAATTTTTCCAAAGGACACACACAGGCATACAGGCAGGTGCACACACATGCACATAGACATACACGATGCACACACATGAGCATACCCGTGTATACACACAATGGTTATAGTCTTTTTCCTTGGAAGGGGAAAAACGGGGTGTCCAGGGAACCAGGGTGTCAACAGAACACATTTTTCACTCTACACTTTGTGTATTGCTGTTTTTTCCTTTTCAAAAATCCACAAATAACTTTGAGCCTTGCCATATCTGCCAAGCGTTCCCTAGCTCCACCTCCTGTGCTATACTTCAGGATTAAAATGGATCTCTGCAGGTCATTCCTGCTTCCTCTGTGACCTTCTTTTCCCCTTGAACACATTGCTCTAAACACAGGCTTAATGAACAGGCTTTTCAGGTCCATGGTACATACTTGAGACTAGAGTTCTTTACTGACACATGCACACATTGTGCCATGATCACAGCAGTCAAGTTAGTTACCACATCCATCACCACCCTTGCTGTACTTAGAGTCCCCAAAATTTGTTCATCTTATAACTGAAAGTTTGTATCTTTTGACCAGTATCTCCCCATTTCCCCCGCCCCCTTGTCCCAGTTAACTATCATTCTACTCTCCGCATCTGTGAATTCAACTAATTTCTACACAGAGTGAGATCGTGCAGTGTTTGTCTTCCTTATCTGGTTCATTTCACTTAGCATAATGTCTCGTGGGCTTATCTCGAGTATTGCAAATAAAATTTCCTTTTCTTCCAAAGCTGAATCACACTCAATCATATACATGTATCACAATTTTTCTTATCCACTCATCCAGTGATGAACACTTAGGTTGATTGCATAACTTGGTTCTGGTGAATAATGCTGCTGTTAACATGAGGGTACAGGTATCTGTTCATGATAGTGGTTTCATTTTCTTTGGATATATATACTCAGGGGTGGGATTGCTGACTCGTGTGGTGATTCTACTTTAATTCTTTAAAGAACTTCCTTTAAAGTGTCTGCCAGAATAGCAGTGCTCATTTACATCCCCACCGAGGGGGCACCAGGCTTCTCTTTCCCGCACACACCGTCGCTAACACTTGCCACCTCTTGTTTTTTCCCTAGCAGCCATCTCCAGGGGTGCGCTGGTGTCTCCTTGTGGCTTGGCTTTGCATTTCTTCCTGGAGAATTCTTCCCCTGCCCAGGTTTGAGAGATCACAGCTAAGATGGCAGATTTCGAAAAATAAAACATAACACCGGCTATATTTGAATCTCAGATAAACATTGAACGAAACTTTAGTTTGTCCAAAATACTACATGAGATTCAAATTTTACCTAGAATTCTATATTTTATCCGGCAAGTGACTCACAGCATCCTCCAAGGCTTGGTGGGCTCCAGAGTATCTGGCAGACAGACTGCCCAGTGTCTGGTGTAGACCCCCCCCCCCATGAGACGTGACAATTCTTTTCCTCTGCTTCTGCTATTGTCCCTTCCTTTCGTGGAGATCTTTGAGAGAAGACACGCAGTGTGATCACATTTTTACCATCTTTACCTGGATTTCAAATATTTCTTTCAGTGACTCTCAGCAAAATTTTGTAGAATATCTTTAACTTCCCCTCGTTTCTCTAAAGTTTTGTCTCAGCCATTTTACATTTCTTTACAACTGCGAATCCTTTCCCCCACAAATTATACAACTGGTTATTGCTGACTGATTTTTTAAAACGTGTTGATGTCTATTTCCCCCATACAAGGCCAACGGACCCAAACTCTGGCTTGTTTGTTTCAAATAGTTGCTGATTCTCATTGCTAAGTAAATAAAAAGGTATGGTAGGATGGTTCGTCTTTTCCTCTGAGGACCTCCCTGCACCTGCCCTGGTATGGGGCGTGTGTAGCCGTGCTTATCTCGTATGCCATCCCCTCCATCACAGCCAGCGGGGCAAGGGGCTGAACATTCAGAGCCTTGTTAAAGCTCTTGGATCATTTTCAGAAAAGTAAGAACGATTGAAGGGTGCTGTTTCGAAGAGCAGTGGACACTGAGAAAAGGGAATAGACTCAAGAGCTGCTGGGGAGGCACCACGTGCAGGAACTATGGGAGAGTCACTAGGGGGGGGCATGTGGAAAAAGAAGGCAGGAAGGGTGACATCTGGGATTCTGGCCTGAACAGCGGTGGGAACAGGGATGGAGATCCACTTGCTGACCTCAGGAACACAGGAAGGAGCCAGTTTGGAGTAGGGGAGACCAAGAACACAGTTTGGGCACATTGCGGTACCAGCCGGACATTGCAGAGGAGATGTCGGGGGACATTGATGGGGACTGAACACGTAGATCTGAACCTTTGGAGAAAGCTGTGAAGAAATGAACACTGTGAGGATACTGCTGGTGAGAAAGATCTGGGTCCAGTGAGAGCACCCAACGGAAATGGACAGAATGAGCAGACAGCCTGGGATGGAAGCCTCTGGCCTGGACAAAGTTCAAGAGAAGAACTGAGGAATGCGCTTCCCTGGGTAGACAAAGATCAGCCAGAGAAGGAAGAGGAAAACCTTGAGAATTTAGTCTCAAAAAATGCAGGGTGGGAGAAGAAACTACCAAGGGGTCACATCTCTTAAGGACGTGTGATGGGTTTAACACGGCACCCACTGGGCCTGTGAGGAGCTGGGCGTCAGCAGTGAGCAGTGGGGGAAGGAGTGCTGGGGTGGACGGGGAGGGGAGGCAGAGCACAGCGCAGCTTCCTTAATGTCACCATCAGCTCTAGGGTGAGAACCCAGAAGGCGCTGAAAGAGGAAGCACCACGCCCACACGTACACACTCTCTCTCTCACACACACACACTATTGAGAGAAGAGGGTACGAATGGATTCACTTTATTTCTGTCTCAGTGGAATTTTAAAGATTTCTTAATTAAGTTCCTCCATGTTTATTGTTAGGTACCTTTGTAGGGTCCCCCCCCCCTTTTGCTATCTTGCTTTACAGAGGAGATTCTAGTTCTTATAAGTTGGGTGTTTCTTCCACGGTATTTCTGAAACGGCTGCTATCTGTGTCTGGGGAAGCTAATAACGTTTCTATTTGGCTTTTGTGATCAGTCAACCCTCTGTCTGGAGCACTCAGACAGCTCTTTTGGGTCATCTACGTATAAAATTGTGTTATCTGCAAACATTGCTAGTTCCGACTTCCCCTTTCCTGGGTTTGCGCCACTCGTATATTTCTCCTGCTCATAGACTTGTCCCAGGATAGATCGGTGACTCTGCTGGATGAAGCCTTACTGAGGACATCTGGCTTGTCTCTGAACCTTCAGTGGGTGGTGCCCATTGTGGATGGTGCTGGGAGATAGTGAGAAAGGAGAGAAGAAGGGAGCAAAAGGAGGAGGAATCGAGGAGAACCATGTATTTTTGCTACCGTCACAGCAAGAACGGATTCTCAGTATTGACAAATGCTTTTCCTCCTTAGACAAGAGAACAGCAAGTTGTTTAACTTCAAATAATATCTAGGGGGATACAAGGGATGCTGGAGCCCAGCTTCAATCGCTTCAGTCTGGATTTAGAAAATCCCTCTCTGTGCACCCACCTTAAAGCATAGCAGTCAAGAGGGGGTCCAAGGCTCAAGGAATGGGCAGGATAAATGGAACTACAGTAGAATCTCCGTAAGTTGACCACCCAAGGGACTGTCACAATCTGGTCAACATACTGAGGTTGTCTACTTGAGAAATATCAATTGAGCACACGTGGTGCATGTCCAGTCGATGAAAATTAGGGCACCTTAAGAAGGCAATCGATGTTGGGAAGTGGTGGAGGTTCTTTGTATTTTACATACTCTGTGTTTCTACAAACTCGAAGGTCTCAGTCAGGACTATTCTGGCCTATTCTCAGCTATGAGTAGATTCCTAAGATTTATCAGACATTTGAAGAAGGCTCAGAACATAGAAGAGAGGACCAGATTTAAAAAAAACAACAAAACCAAGACATGCCCATGGAGCAAAGAGCTGAACCACTTAGGGAACAGAAGAGAGTCTGAAAAACATCAGCAATCAGAGAACTATGAGGGATGTTTCTGAAACAAAAATACAATTTCTAGAATTAATATTTGATCCAAGGGTTGGAAGTAGAAGTTAGAACACAAAAGAAAATACTATAAGTCTCTGGAAATGTCCTACAAAACCCCGATTATGAAAGATATACAAGGAAAAGAGACAGAATCAATTCAGGGAGAGAGGGGGAGGGTGACAGAGGAGGGAGAGGCTGGGAGAGCCCCTTTGGAGGTCAGTAGAATAAGCACTTTCCACCCCCGGGGGAGACAGGTAAAGGCATGGGGAGGAGGCAACTAGAGCAAAATGAAGCCAAAGAGAGGAGCCACCTTCCCTCCTGACACTCCCCACCATGGGCCCGGGCTTCAGAGAGACTCAGGACCCCCGAGGAAGCCATCAGGAGGGTCCAGGGAGGGTCAGATGCCCAGGGCAGAAAGATGCACTGAGACGCCCTGCAGTGGGCCACCTGGAAGGAGTCTGGGGCAGGGGAGGAGTGTGCCGTGAGGTTGCATGAGCCCTGCATGCTGTCTTCATCCCAGTGTGCACCTGAGCACGTGTCCATCCCCGGGCTTCCTCCCACTCTCCCCATTGCAGCCTCGTCCTCTCCTGCTGGAAGCAGGTTCCACGTATCAAGACCCGGGTGCCTCCTTGGCTCTCCTGATCCTCCCCATGCAAACGTGACCAGGCCTGTTCCTCTTTTTTTCCCACATGCAAAGAAGTTTTACCACAGCTTGCACCACCCATGGTGACTCGTTCTTCTGAAAATATGACACCACTTTTCTCCTAATACGGAAAATTGAGAAATAGCTGCATACGTAGTATAAGACAAATAAGAAAAAGACTCAAAGGAGATTCAAGCAGGTTTGGGGGATTCTCTTCTGAACTTGGCTTTTAAGACCCTGAAGGACTTTGGGAACCTGTGGTCACCGAGGCGAGGAGAGGAGATAGGACCATGCAGCTGTCCCTTGCTCTGCTCCTTCTCATCCTCCCAGGTGAGTGCAGCCGATGCTCTAGACACTGAGATGCCAGACGCTGGGCAGGGGACTGAGGGGGTCTGTCCTTGGGGATGGGGACAAATCAGGAAAATGACGGGGATAAGTAGTTTATCTGTGCCCTTATCTGGTCGACAAGAGCCAAGGTTTCATTATCTGACAGATTCTTTGTTAGGTGCTGTGGAAACAGAGAAAAACCAAAACAAAATAAAAATCCTTCCTCTTTAGAATAATGTTTCTCAACCCTTCATTCAAACAGGTGAATGGAGTAATGAACAAGGTCATTCCTGACCAATTTTAAGGAGCAGAGATATGCAGAGAGAAGGAGGCTATCATGGGAAATAAAATGACCACAGTGACCTGTTTCCATTGACTTATCAAATCTCTGGGAGCATAAACTCCGACAGGGAGACTTGCGTGCAGAGAGTGAGCTGGGGAGACGCACACGTGATTATTGTCTTCACTTGGGAGTTAATAGGGATAAAAGGGGCACATGTGTGTAGTATCAGCTCAGGCCGTCACAACGGAATTCCACAGACAGACGTCTATTTCTCACTGTCCTGGAGGGTGGAATCAGGGCATAAGTATACCAAAGGAATGTTTGTTTCTTTAGAATTTAAAAAATTGCCTGTAAAGCTAGCTGAAAAGAGAGCCTTTATTTGGATAAATTCGTTGATGACTTCTGTTTCCCTCCATGGTTCTTTGTCCATTCAGATATTTTGCTTGTTTTTATGGCTATTTATCACCCCCCTCCACAGTTAACTATTTTATCAAGTATGTGTTAGCATAAATGTCTGGAGTTAGAAAGCACCCATGTGTCATTAAGCATTTTTCTAACAATTGTTATAGACAGTTGCCCCTTCCTCTCTGTGAATTCCACATCCATTGATTCAAACTACCAAGGAGGTAGGTAACGTATTCCAAAAAATTGCACCTGGACTGAACATGTACAGACCTTTTTTCTTATAATGATTCCCTAAACAATACAGTATAACAACTATTTACAGAGCATTTACACTGCGTTAGGTATGACAAGGAATCTAGAGATGATTTACAATTTATACTATTCAGGAGGATGTGTGTAGGTTGTGTGCAGATACTGCGCCAATTTATATCAGGACTTGAACATCTAGACATGTTGGCATCCCAGGTTGGCCCTGGAACTGATCCCTTTGGAGAGCGAGAGACATCTGTACTTTTTCTGGTGACATGTGACACGAGATTTTCTACATTATTATTGCTTCTTTTCCCTGCCTCCAACCCTTCTTTTGTTCCCCAATTAAACTAGTCTGTTCTGGGATTTAGTTGTTGAGGGTTACCGTTTTTATTTTCTAATTATTAATCTCTCCTAGTTATAATTTCTTCTTATTTTTTCCTTAGAATTACCAATCGTTATCTCTTCTACGTTGAAGACTCATAGTTTTCTGTCATTCTAAAGTTAATGAAAACACGTTTAAGGCTAAGAATTTACTTTTGTCTACTTAAAAAGGTCGACTTATATAACTCACATACCATAAAATTCCCCCTTTTCATGTGACGTGTGATAGAGTCACAACGTTGTACAGCCACTTTTACTCTTTAATTTCAGACCATTTTCACCACATCAGAAGGAAACCCCACAGCACTCACACAGCCCCTGCCTTTGGTGTCCACTGGTCCCTTCCTTGTGTCTGTGACTTTGCTTGTTCTGGAAATTTCACCTGGGTGGAATCACTCAACACGTGACCTTTGTGTTTGTGTCTCACTTTCACTGAGCACAGATGTTTCCAAATTTCATCAACATTGTAGTGAGTATCAGAGCTCCATCGTTTTTCATGATTAAATATTTCAGAGAGGATCACATTTTCTTTCTCCATCCACCTGTCCATGGTCTTAGAGCTTGTCAATAACACTCCTCTGAGCCTTCCCCCGCACATTTTTGTGAGATGACATTTTCAATTTTCTTAAGTTTAATAGAACTATAATTGAAGGGCCGTGTGGTAAGTATATGCTTGGTGTTGATTGCTACTTTTTTCTAAGAATTTACTTTTGAATGCAGCTTTGGCCATGTCAACAAGTTTGGATATGTAGTGTTGTCTTTTTTGTTACAATATAATGGGCCCACCTGTTTTAAATATTATTTGTAGTCAGACTAGGTTTGGTTAAGAACTTTTCTCTCCAATTTCATATATAATTTTCTGTTAAAATTTTTCAGATATATTTTATTTCTGCTAAATAATTTTCAGATGTATTTTTTCTTTAAATATTAACCTTAATGAGTCTTTCTTTGTGATGCAGAAATTTTTTCATAGTGAAGAAACGAAACCTCAAATACTCATCATTCCTCAAAGGGATCTGTGTAGTTTCTTAGTTCCCTTCAGGAGCCATAGAAAGCAGAACTGAGTGTGTGGCCCAATTTTGGTCCCTGGCAGGCCTCATCTGGCCGGGCAGCTCTCACTGAGATGAAATTGTCTACAGCTCCTATCAGGACGAACTCTGGCTTTGCCAGACATTCTGGTGAGGTTTAAAGTATTCATTTGTCCAGGGGCAACATAATAATAGCCAATATTATATGACAACATGGGTAGATACTGTTATTATCCCCACTTACAGAAACCAAAGGCACAGAGAGGTTAGTGGCCCAAGTTCTCAGAGCTTGTAGGTATCACAGGCAGGATTCACACCCAGGCCGTCTGGCATAGCTGTCCTCTCAACCAGGACTGGGCGACTCTTGGAGCATGAGAGGCTGCACCTTCTCTCCCCCAGTGTGAATTGCACCCAGGGCTCCTGCAAGGGCTCCAGGGTGCTTCTAGTTCCACCTCACATTTATGCTGCAACAATCCCAGGTATTATTAAGGTCTGTTCATAAATCTTCAGAATCTGTCATTTCTGTAAATGGTTTTCTCTTCAGGTCACTTAAATTTAAAGGATTTGTGACTGGGGTGTCTCTAAGGTATTTCCACTGTTTTCAGTTACTTTGTGTAAAAAATTAAGCAGACTAGTGTTTTCCCAAGAAGACTGGAAAAAAAAAAAAAGAGCTAATGATGCGTGTCCACTTCTCTCCCTTTAAGTGTGGTTGAACTGTCGCCGCTGAGTTTAGTAAAAATCTTACAAGACACAGGAGGGCATGGAAGGGGTGACGCTGTTTGTACCCAAACTTTACCTTATTTATCCTAAAGGTTAGCTCTTACTAGAAATTTTAAAACTGGAATTTATAATAACTTTTAGATAAACTAAGATCTCATAGTCCCTGGCGACCAGTGGGCATCACTGTCTTAGTGGACATCAAAGGCAGACCTCCAGGCTGGGTCACTACAGCAGAGCCACTGGGCACCCTTCCAGCTGCCAGGAACAGTCCAGGGTCAAGACAGCATCATTCTCCTGTGGAAATGGGTCTTTTTTCTTCCCATCAGATGAGCATAATACAAAAATAGTTTCAAAAGAATATTTCTTAAAATACAAAGAATTTTTGGACATGGAGGAAGGGTGAGGAGTGAATTACAAGAAACTGTTATTATTCAGTGTGAACATTTTTATTTCTTTTGTGGTCTGTGGATGAGCTCTCTAGGGGGTTTTCTGGTGGCTTTAACCCAGTGGGACATTGTAGGAAAAATATTTTTCATGGGGAAGATGAAGCCTTCCTTGACTATGATTGAACTCATGAGACACTTGAATTTGGGAGCTATTCCCAAGGCAGGAGGCTCTGGCTTTGGGGTGGAAAGTGACAAGTACATGGATTTGTGTTTTCCAGGCTACTCCAATGCTGGGAGTACAATCATCGGTCCAGGAGTGGTTAGGGGCCCGGAGAGAGGATTATTGACTGTTCACTGTCTTTATGACTCAGAATGGAAAACCTACAGAAAATGGTGGTGTCGAGGGGCTAATTGGGGAAGCTGTGAGATCCTTATTGTGACCACTGGATCAGAGGAGGAGGTATGGATGGATCGCTTGTCCATCAAGGACAATCACAAGGACCAAAGATTCACAGTGACCATGGAGAAGCTCACAAGAGGTGATGCCGACACTTACTGGTGTGGGATTGAGAAAAGTTGGACTGACCTTGGGGTCCAAGTGGAGGTGATGGTTGACCAAGGTAAGAGAGTATGAGTGTTTATGCAACAACAATCACAGGTATTGCTAAGGCCTGTACATAAATCTTCAGAATCTGTCATTTCTGTAAACAGTTTGGATGTGTCTCTCAGGGCCTGCTCTACCTTGGTCCTTGAAATATCACTTGAGTAGATTAAGTATCACTCAGCATCACCTGTCACAGAGGTTGGTGAGTCCTGATGTCAAGGCTGAATATTTGTCCCCTCTAAATATCATGTTGAAATGTAAACACAACACCTGATGTGGCAGTACTGAGAGACGGGGCCCTTAAGAGGTGTTTGGGTCGGGAGGGCTCCATCCTCAGGAATGGATTAGTCCATTCATAGATTCATGGATGACCAGGTCATTGTGGGTGTGGCCTGGGGCTGTATAAGAAGAGGAAGTGAGAGTGGACCTGGCTCCCTCAGCCCCTTCAGGTATCAGCGGCTCCCAGGCCAGGCCTGGGTTGGGTGGGCAGAGATGCCCTGCAGGCTCCTATTGGCAGCTGCTTCTCCATCAGTGTCCACCTGCAGTGACGGGCCAACAGGAGAGATCCAGTCAGTGTGGCTGGGACACAAGGCGGAGAAACACAGGAGTGGTGGTGTCCAGGGGCTATTGGAGCACCTGCAGGGTCTTTGTTGTGACCACTAGATCAGAGCAGTCCATCAAGGACAGTCAAAAACACCACATGTTCCGTGTGACCCTGGAGGAGCTCAGGAGAGATGAAGCTGACGCATTGGTGTGGGATTGAGAGGAGCGGAACTGACGTAGGGGTCCCAGGTAGGGTGACTACTGACCCAGACGAGAATGCTTCCCTCACGGGTCATGTGACCACACTGCTGAGGATGGAGGATTCAGAGCCCCCCTTCTCTTTTCCCAAGCAGTGAAGGGGCGTCTCCCACCCCTGCCTGTGATTGTGGGCCTGAGTGTCAGGGAGAGTGGGACTCTTAGAGCTTCTGCATCTGCATCAGAGGATGTGACCCCAGGCTCCCCTGTCCAGGCAGGTGCTGCCAAGTGTGAAACAGCATTTCTATCCTGTGTGCTATTCCCGTTCTCTCCTCCTCTTTCACCTTTGAAAGACTCAGGACACACGGAAGTTGTTCATTAGTGAGAAAAATGACACACAAAGCCCGAGCATGGCAGTGACCCAGGGCTCAGGGTGGGAGAGACCCTGGGAAGGAGAGAAGTGCCAGCAGCCCGGGGAGCCAAAGATGCCCAGGAGGCCCAGCCCCGGTCACTGCCACCATTGTCCCATGCAGGGAGTGGGTCTGTGATGTCAGGTCTTTTCACATTTCTAGAGCAGCTGAAAGTCACAACCATGGGCCTGGGGCTCACGGACCCGTCTGGGCTGAGTGCGGCTGTCAGGACTCGGCCCCAGAGCTGTGTTCCTGGTGTGGCCCTTCCTGTGGCCGTCTCTGTGCTGCCTTTGTTGAGGTTTGTTAGAGAGATGTCAGTTTCGCAAAGAGAATGTGACAAATTTTCATTTCTCTCCTCTTAAATCAGAACATAAGTATGGCAGGGGAATTTTGTTTCCTTATAACTAAACAGCAATTACCCATAATGCTGGCTGTCAACAGAGGCTTTGCCCGTATAATTTCAATGACAGCTTAGATTTCCCCCACAGTTATTTGCCCATTCATGTATTTCCTTGTTTTTCTATTTATTGCCCTCCCAAGTTAACTATTTTACTGAGTGTATTTTCCCATATATTTATGGAGTTGTAGAATATCTTTTTGTAAGGAAAATTCTATCTATCTATTTTGGTATACAGTTGGCCCTTCGTATCTGTGGATTCAACAAACACGACATCGACATTCATTTTAGTAAAAATTCACAAGGCACACGAGGGTATAGAGCGGGTGATTCTGTTTACACCTAACCTTCACTCTCCTATGATTTCTCTGGTGGCTTTGACCCAGTGGAACATTGTAGGACAAAGGTTTGTCATGGAGAATGTTTATTTCTTCCTTGTCTGGGATTTACCCAGTGAGACGCTCAGATTTGGGAGCTATTCCCAAGGCAAGAGGCTGTGACCCTACCCTTGGGGTGGGAGGTGACAGGCACAAGGATTTCTGTTTTCCAGGTTCCTCCACTGACAACATTGCAATCACCAGTCCAAGACCAACAAGCCGCCAGAAGCAGGGTAGTGACACTCAGAAAAACAACACCTCCCCTGTGACCACAGACAAGCACAGGACAGATGACCATGATACTTGCGTATGTGGAATAAAGAAAACTGGAACTGAACTTGGGGTGCAAGTTAAGGTGACCATTGACCGAAGTGAGGGAGTGTGATGTAAACCTCAGAGCCTGCTCTGCCCTGGTCCCTGAATTCCCCATCAAGTGTACTTACTGTCCCTCAGCAGTCTCTGGGGCAGAGGACAGAATCCTAAGGTCCCACTTGAGTGTAATGTCACTCGGCAGTGTCTGGAGCAGAGGACAGTGAGTCCTGAGGTCTTGCTATGCTTTGCTGTGCTTGCCATGGTTTGAATATTTGTCCCCTCTAAAACTCCTTAGAAACACAATCCCTAATGTGGCAGGAATGAGAGGAGGGGCCTTTAACAGATGACTCTGCCCTGGGGAATGGACTGACCATTCATGGCCAATTGATGAGTGGGTGTCATAGAATGAGGCCGAGGGCTGCACAAGAAGAGGATTTGAGACCTGAGATGCCACATCCAGCCCCTTCAACGTGTAATTCCCTGCATAGAGCCCTGCTGGCAAGAAGGCTATCACCAGGTGGGGCCCCTCCAGCTTGGACTTCTCAGCCTCTGCAACTGTATGAAATAAATTCCATTCCTTTACACACTACTCAGTCTTGGGTATTCTTCTGTAAGTAACAAAACAGCAAGCTAAGGCTGTTTCCTAGAGCCACAGTGAGTGCTCAGGACAGGAGGGCAGGCCCCCTCCTATGTGTTCCACAGCTCCCAGGCCTTCTCCAGGATGGATTGAGCCTTTTGAGGCACATTTATTTTTTTCTCTGTGCAGCTCAGTGACTGTGTCTGTTGCTTATAGGAGACAAAGTGGTGGTGTCAGTTTCAGCCCATGGACCAAAGGTACCCAGAGATCCCACTCCCTTCCAGCAGACCAAGCCTTAAAAACCCAATCCCTTAAGCACTTGGGGCTGCTCTCAGAAACCCCATGTTGGGACACTGAGGCAGTTGCTGTCCAGCTCCTCAATAAAAGGACTCAGCTGTAAATTTGGCTTGTTGTGGTCTTTGTGGAACTCCTGGGCACAACACTGCCCTCCTTGTAACTGTACAGTCCTGACAGTCACACTCCAGTGGAGCCTCCAGTTGAGTCTCTTGGGTCTGTACCATCCACTGTGACACCCTCAAAGAGAAAATAACCCTTATCTCTCTGCTCAACAGACGTGGAGGGAGGCATAAAAACCAGAAAGCCAGGCCCAGATTATTACAGAGTCCTGCCTCTCCTGAGGGGGGCTGAGAACTCCCAGGACCTCCTCTTCCCTGGGCTCCCTGTCTCTCAATACTCATCTCTGGCCAGAGCCAGGGTAAGGGATCCCAACCTGCCATTGTCAAATTTTCACTAGCAAAAGAGAGAGCCTATTCCCCCATTCCATATGCCACTCCCTGGCCTCTGAGCCTCCGAGCCCCATCTGCCTTAGGAGTTTCAGCTGAGTCCTGCAAAGACAGCTGGATACAGAGACCAGGTGGGGATGTGTCTCCTACAGTGGTCTCTCTCACAGCCTGCTTTCCTCCATCCTGTCTCCGTTGATGTGGGGAAGACTGTTCTCCCTCCCTACTCACAGACTCTGCATGTGCTTCTTTGTGTAGTGATAACAGACCATTCACACCAAATAATGAAAACTATACAACTTCTGCTTCTGGGCAAGTGATAGGTTCTAGATTTACCTGGTCAGGTGATAGGTTCTAGATTTAGCTCCTGCCTCAGACAACAATAAATAAAACACATAAATTATATGAAACAGGTTTTCAAGGCATTGGATATCAGGCAACTCATTAGAGTGATCTAGGAAAGAAAGTAAGTGAAAAGGGGAGCCAGGTGGCTGCCAGATTACTGCCAGGTGGAGACTAAGAGAGGGGGAACCAGAGTGGAGCCTGGCAGACTGTTCTGAGAATCCCAACTAACCTGGGTTTCCAGCTCCAGAGGCGCTAGCAGCCCTGTCCTAAGGGGAAGTGAAGGGGAGCTGAGCATGTGTCTTTACAGGGAGCTGTTCATGGAATATCTTTTTACCTGGGGGACAGTCTAATGCCTGATTGACCAGAGAGGAGACAGTTGAGAAAGTGACAATCCTAGAGGTCTGCAGAGGGGTTCCACAGAAGTGTTCAACAAGT